GCTTCTTGAAACCTTCACTGGAATCGGTGTACGGCCCGCATTAGTGGGTTGGTTTGCGTCCTATCTGCATGGCAGATCGCAATTTACATTATTTCAAGGTGAGCAATCAGACCTGCGAAAGATCAGGGGTGGAGTCCCACAGGGTAGCAAGCTGAGTCCAATAGCATTCATCCTGAAAATTAACCATCTTTAACCCCGTTTTCTATTTCTTAAATATAAACCATATTATTAGGGAGCGGTCATTATTTATGTCTGGGGCGTGGAAATGAACAAAAATAGTTTTCCTGGGAAAACGTTTGCTGATCTACCATTAAAATCAAAAAATTTTTTACTCAACTTCAAATATCAATTAAAAAATAAATACCCACCCCTGGCTAAAATATTTACAAAAGCATACTATTCAGTTGTCAGACATGTCATTTACCACTTCTGTGACATGAGTTTGATAACTGCTTGCGCCATTTTCTGCAGTGTAAAGTTTCATGTTGTCTGTGCATGTGCTTTCTTTGGAGACACCATTTGCCTCCTGATAAATCGGAAAATGATCAAGATAGTGACTCTGGTTGATTTACATATTGTATTGACATATGACATATATTGTTTTTAGTTTTCAATATTTGAGTCAATCATGCTTTGGAAATGACAATAAATTTTATTACCCAACCCTTGAGTTGTTTTGTTTTTCATTTACCCAACCTTTTACTCACTCAAAAATTTGTTTACCCAACCCTTTTCTCTTCGGCGCCACCCCCGCCGTAAATAATGATCGCTCCCTTATGGTATAGAATTGTGTAAGACTTAACATGGAGTGAGCTTATCATTTTATATTAGGCTAATTTATTAACAACTTTAACACTGGGCTTATCAAACTCATATCACTTTATATTAATATTGTGTTTATCCACAAGTGGGAGAAGGTTGTAACAATATACATAGAGGACATATAGTGTCATGAGTATATATTATATAAGCTATATATAATATTAAACATTTATAGTACCGTAACGCTGACCTTATCATTTCAACATTCACCCCTCGTCCGTCTTACATATTAAAGTACCATCTTAACATGTAAATTAAAAGTAGCATCTTAATATTCACCTTATATCATCTGCTGTGAACTCCGAAGCCTGCAGACTATATAACCATAGTTCTTCTGCACTAAAGTGCCTGCAGGCGAGCTAAAAATGGTTGTAAATTCAATAGCACTGTGTTGTGTAGTGTTATTATTAATGCACCAATTAATATTATTTTGAAATATTAAATGATTTGATATAATAGCTATGATGATTATGCATTTTTCGCATTCTCCGCATAAGATTGTCCCAAAAGACAAAAAGTTCCTGTTTGAAGAGAGCTGCCTATAAACTAGCTATAGGATATTATAACATATTTTTCTGACAGCTATACATATAAGGTTAAACTTCTATAAATTAGTCATTGCAACAGGTGGAACAATTCACTATAATATCTGATTAAACTCGCAAGTACAAACTTCTTATAAGACATCTTAATTGGCTAGCTATGACCTATAATAACACATATAATTATATTTACAAAAGATCATTTTTACTGTGAATTGATACCCTGAGGCATGAATTTTTGTTGCAACTAAAGTTTGAGGGGACCAAAATAAAATAAATTATATATTAAGAGTGCATGAGTATTGGCAGTCACGCGATGTTTGTTTGCCGTTCTTAAAATGCTTTTCAAAAACTATCATTTATTTTATTTAAGTTAAAACGTAGTTGAAACCCTCATCAAACCTTTATTTTGTTACTTGAAATAATATAAATGATATAAGTCAGAGTGCATATGAGAGTTTGAGTGTCACGCGATGTTTGCTAGCCGTTCTTAACGCTTTTCAAGCACTGTATTTTTTATATCATATAGCTATGTTATTGTATAGGTTACATATATAAACGTAAGCAAATAATGCAAAATGTTTTTTCCAAAAACCAGTGACAGTGGGTATCGAAAGTGTAGCGGACTCAACATTGAGCCTTGTTCTGTGGTATAATTGTAGGCCATGGGCGAAAAACCTCATAGAAAAGCAATTTCGTGGCACCTCCGATCCCTGGGAAGTGGATTTTCTGTGGTTCAACACATAGTATACGTACCATAGATGCTCCATTACCAAGAAAAGTTCCCAAGCAAAAAACTTGTCCAATACCGAGAAAATGGGTGATCAGTGATTAAAATGTAAATTGTATAACAACAAGAAAATGTGAAATTTTGTATTCAATTACAACAAATTAAAAATATGACTTGCATTATCGGAAAGATTACAAAAACCTGCGTATAAAACAAGTAAACAGCTTTTTTATTTCCAGAATTGTCTTCAAGTTATACAGTACGCTGTCAAAAACGCGTTTTTTGACCAAGTACCCAGTTCTTGTTGCGACATTTTGGGCCAGTTTTCACATTTAAAACAGCAATAACTCAAAAACCATTTGAAGAATCTAAAAACTGTTTAATTAAAAGTCTTATATCACAGTTTTCCGATGATGCAGGTTATTTTTATTGCAATTGAATACGAAATTTCCCATTTTTGCTGCAACACAATTCAATAGAGAATAATCATTGATCACCCATTTTCTCGATATTGGGCAAGTTTTTTGCTTGGGAACGTTTTTTTGATAGCAACGTACCTATGCACCTAAATTTTCATTGTTAAATGTCAGGGAAACTACTTACCAATGGAAATTTTGTACAAAAGGAAAAATTAAATGTCTTCCACAGCAATATTTTTGAACCATTTAACTTCAAAATGCACCACCGCACGTTGGCATCACCTTATAGTATATACACATGCATGAACTTTAGGTTAAAGCTCGACAACTGTCTCTCTGTAGCGCAGTTGGTTAGAGCATGCGCACTGCACCGAAATTCCAGGACTCCAGGAACGATAGTTGCATTTCTGCAACTGGTACTGCTTAAGTGTGATAAATGTGTAGAAAATTCCACACGAAATCTCCATCTAAAAAATCACTTCAACAATTAGTGATATCGAGTGACATGTCAAAAATCCTAATATTATTCCATTAATTACAAACCTAATTGACGTGCCCAGTAAATTACACATTTGTAACTATTCGCTTAATTTTACATATGTGTAACATTAAAGTACTTTCAGCTTTTTAGCCGCTTTTGTTTGGGCCATGCAGTTCTCAGTTTTTTAATTTGATAAGATAGTAGTAAATCCTCATTATTACAAATAGTTTAACCAAGTAAGCATAAGAAATTCTACACATTGGGGAATAATAAATTTAGGCAGAGCATTAACAATATGGCTATACCAACACGTGAGTTGAACACCACTGACTAACTTTGTAAATTATTTGACAAATGTTTCTTCAATGTTAGGAGCATATTGTACAAACGAGCTTGGAACCATGAGTGAGCCAAATGGGCTTTTCGGTTCATCGTAAGCTTTAAAATAGCTGGTTTATTGTGCAGAAGAGCTTTGGAGCAGGGTTTAATTCTATTGCTGATACTGTAGATATTTTCTCAGAGAACAATTCCAATAGATGATATGGTACTGTACTCATCAAACTGTTTTAAAATAACGGCAGTTGGTAGTCAGATTCATCAATGTGAAATTCTTCAGCTTTGTTCAAAATGTGTAGAAGGTTTGTCATTTAAACAAATTCAGATATTATTTCTGCTTTAAATCTCATGTTCCTTTTTTTACCATCATCTTCTGAGAGCCACTTGGGAAAATATATTTATATGCTAATTTTGGACAACATCGAATGGAATTCTTGGAATCTATGTCATATAGGGCTTTGACGTCTCTCCATGATGCCACTTTTTCCATTGCTTATCAGGTGTTATGCCCATTTCTGGTATCAACTTTTGAAAATTTGCACCAATATCAGAAACAACTCCATAGTCTTCCAGACTAATTAACTCATCGGTGTTGGATTGAAAATTGATGGAATGCATAATTTGACTTGAGAGATATTTAATCAAAGGATATTACGTAGTAATTTATGCCATAAATAATTTTCTGACTGAACTTTGATTTTATAAATAAACATGACATTAGCGGTTCCTATTGGATATATTTAATTGTATATAAGTAATGTTTATGCACAGGCGGAGCCAACTTCACTAAAGCAAAAAGTGGGCGCATTTCGTTTCTTGATGTGTTGTTGGCAGTCCCTCCTTTTCCATCGCACGTCGACCGGGAAGCTAAACCAGCGGAAAGGAGGGATTGCTCGCAGTCTACTGCGGGCAGGGCCGTGCCAACCGGTTTCTGGTTGGGGGGTGTATTCCAAAATTTGGGCTCCCTCTCCTTTCCAGGCCCCCCCTAAAAAATTTTTCCGGAAAGCAAAAATTTTCCGGAAATGTTGGCAACGGGGGGGGCGGGGGGGGGGAGGTTCGACGATAAGTCCCCAAATTTTTTCGCAAAACAACATTTTTCCAAAAATTTTCAAAATTTTCAGCGAACAAATCCTTCATTTTTTAAGAATTTTGCAATTCCAGCATGTACACCCCCCACACACACACCCAGGTGGCGCGTCCCTGACTGCGGGATTGGTGTTTGATCGGGAAAGTTACTTTGACAAGGCTAATTATGTTTGTAACAAAAACGATGAAGAGAAGCTGCTTGGAGAGGAGCAAACAGCTCCGAGATCGTGAAATTGCTGATCAGAATAGCTTCGGAAAAAACCTGTCGGAAATGTAAATAAATTCAGCTGTACTATTCGTAATTCAATCAATTTTTTAGATTCAGCCAGGACCCGCTGCCAATAATGAAACAATACGTCCTCTGGCAGGAATAGTGCAAGATGCCCAAGAATCTCGACCTTTACCCATACCGTGTCTAAAATGCATGACATAGCGTTTCGTAGACTGTATAAAGAGAAATATTTTTTGGTCAACCATGCCCTTTGGTATGCGTTACATTACTTTTCGATACGGTACGTTTGGAATGGAAAACAGACATTAGTGGTTAGATACACGAAGCTAAATAAAATTTCATTTTCCTGAATGCTTGCGAAGATAAATCCGTTCTGAATAAATATGCCCCAAAACACTTGAAAATCGATGATTTATTGATAAATGACGGATTATATGCAAATTACTACACAAGCTGAGTCCATTTTGCACCTAACTTCTGGCAATAGAGGATTTATAATTCCAAGCTACATCCTATTTACTTAGGTACATTGATTTCTTTTGACGAGAATGCTCTCTAATTGAGATGGTCTTCTATCAAATCAAATTAGGTTTTGAATGGTGTATCTTCTTTTCATTGGAGATGCCTTGTCGTTTTCGTCTTACCCACAGAATAACTGCGCCCAATATCAGAAGTATGATAAACATGATGACTGTGATTGACAAAGGAAGTACTGCTGACAACACCATGGGCTTTTTCTTGGAGATATATAACTGCGTTGGCGTAACATTTCTGACTTCTAAAGTGACAAAAAAATTGGCAAAATTGTTTGCTCGCGTAAATGGGAACTCGACATCTCGGTAATGTTTATTCAAATTAAACTGACAAGGACAAAAACACACCCGCCGATTATGGAACAGAAAGCAATGGGTAAAGCCCAAAACAGATACAGGCTATATTAACTTAAAGGATGACAATTGGTCGAGAAGAAACAATAAAGGATTAGGTGCAACACGATCTAGTAAATAATTCGTCAGCAACCGTTAAATTAATTTGTTTCCTATTTTAAATCCAAGGGAAATGGGAATGAAAAATATTTACACAAGCATACACTCATAATTACTATACTACCATTTGTAAGCAAACCGTCAACTGCAAATCATTTTCAACGTTTGTTTAATAGTTTACATTTCTAACCTACACATGATTTTACACTGAAAGGGAAAGATTTATACCCACCTAGATTTGTAGTTAAATATGCTTTATTTGATCTAATTATACCTCCCTTTTCACATTTATAAAGATAATCGGCTGGTCCTACAAACAAGGCCGGCGAGAGCCAACCCAGGCCCCGGGACAAAATGACGATTGGTAAACACGGGCCCACTGTCTCTCTCGACTCTCCCGCTGGCTATTTTTAATCGCAATCAACGAGAGAATTGCCAACGAATTACTTGCAAGAAATCGCCGCATAACTGATAAAAATACAATGTGAACGATGTTCAGCTAACTGTTTTTGCTGAGAAAACGATTGAAAAATCGTTTATTTTACATGTGCTGCGTTTTACCATCAATCACGACGATCAGTGGATAGTGTGCAAGTAGGCGAATTTCATTTAGGACAAACATATAGCGATGATAAACGATACGAACATTTTCCAGAGATTTCCGGGCCCCTATGCGCACTCCGGCCTCGTGTATTTTGCGCCCCACGCCCCCCTCCCCTCCCTCTCGCCGGCCTTGCCTACAAACGTATATGTGTACGTACTTTTGAAACGTGAACAAATGTTTGCAGTTAACATTTTCTTGCAAGTAGTAGCATCTCCACACACTCACCATTATAAGATTTAACAGTAAGCTGGTGAATGTGTTGTTCTAGAGGAGGAAATTTTTCTTTACATTCTTGAAATGAGGCGACGCACGTTTTGCTAAAATTGCAAAATACTTTGAATGATGGGCACCAATCCTTCTTCACATCTGCAACAAAATTAAAAATCAATTAAACTGAATGTAGGTTCCTATGGGTAATAATAGGTGCTTAATAATAATAATAATTAGTATAAAGTTTGCATACTAAATGAGCCTTCACGCCTTCTGATTGGTCAGTTGTCAGTAAGTCTGACGCAATAATATTTACTAGCAGACTAGTAAATATCGGTTTTCAAAAAGAATGATCCGGCAAACAAAAATGTTAAAAACTAAAGAGGCACAACGTTTTTGTATTTAACTTGAAAGTTGAGTTTTATTGTGCAAAACATACATGTATTTTTGCACAAAGAACAAAATCAGAATTTCAATTTATAAGGATTATCTGAAAATAAGGGAAAAGTTCAACTTGAGGGAATAAAAGAAAGCAAAGCAAGCCATCCAAAGTTAATAGAATAGTACACGAAATGGAAATTGGAAAGAGGTATGGAGAAACCTGAAAAGGATATTAAAAGAAAGTATACAAATAAACAGACGAAAGCCCGGCCTTTTGAATATTGACAACGAAACCACGGATAGTTGAATGCAATGCTTAACCAAGGAAGACAGCAGCGATCTTCAATCTACAAAGGCAACTGATACAAGGTGGATGCTATAAATTAGCATGCAAGCATTGAATGTATCCTTGCTAGGTTACAACAATGCACTGATAATATTGACGTGGTAAAATGAGGGAACAAATTGACGTTTTCCCTATATACAACGTGGTACAAAAAAAGAGGGAAGGTGATGGAATGGACAATATATATATGCTATTTACCGGCTGCGAGGTCCGGATGAGAAAAACTGTCCCCGAGGTCTTGAAGAAGCGTTGATTTGCTGTTGTACACGATTCCAGTACAACAGCAAACCAACGCTTCTTCAAGATTTAAAAAATATGACATCACCACAGGGTACGTGACCCCAGCATAGTTTTGACAAAATTTTGCAAAAAAACCGAAAATAATTCGCTTTTTTAACAACCTTAGAATGAACTTTTGAAGTTAAAACTTTGAGAGAATGTAGTAAAATTATCAGTGTTTGAAATGATGTAGATTTTATATTGCTTTTGTTTGTAATTTGCGAAATATTCATACTCTAGTAAACGTTGTAATAAATTTCCGTTAAAACTCTTGCCAGCCTTGTCATAATAATAAACTGAGTAGACTTGATGAATGCCCGAGCGCCACGCGCGAGGGTAAAAATTTCAACACGCACTTTTGGGCAGCCTATGATCAAACATGACGACATTGATTTCCTTCTGAACGAATTCCACTCTTTTGACCGTAATATACATTTCACCTATGACGTATTTTCAGACGAACCACCACACTTTCTAGATCTTAACCTAGATGGCAACAAGTTTTCCATATACCGAAAACATACTTTTACAGGTCAATATACTCACTTTGACAGTTTCGTACCATGGAAACATCGCATTGCATGGATTCGCTCTCTTCTTAGTCCCATTAACAAAATCTGTTCACCCACGAAACTAGCCCAAGAATTGCAATTTCTTAAGAAAATTGCGCCCGAGCCCGAAGGGCGAGGGACGTTTTCAAGACCGAGGGCACAGTTTTTCTCATCCGGACCGACGCTGCCGGTAAATAACGTGTTTATTTTTTATCAGATGTAAAAATTAAATTGATTAAAATTCCAGTGTTGCTTGCGAACTAATTTGAGATCAGTGCAGTTGTGTATTTTCAAAGCGAGGCTGACAAAAATTTAAATTTGAAAAGTTGAATGATATAAAACACGATACGAAAACTCGAGAAAACTGGCAAGAAACACACAAAAAGACGTATAGTTTCAGTAAAAATGTACATGCTTTTTTCATGAATATGGTATAGAAGAGAAGCTTTGGAATAAAAACTTTTATGCCTGGCGTTTTGGCTTTGGCTTTGACAAAATCAGTTGTTCCTGACAACAAGTTCATGTTCAGATCAGATCAAAAACATATAAAAATGAATCTATTTTCATTTAATCAACGTTTTTCTACTAAAAGGTCAATGAAAAGGGTATGTTGTTTTTATATTTTTGTATTTTTTCTTGTCGTTTCACGATAATATGCTTGAAAAAATTGTTTTTAATTTAAACACAAACTTTTACTTTGTTTACAATATTTATATCAGTGAAGAATGTATGACACAAATGGGTAGAGAATATATTCGTGACTTGTTTTCACTGCTGCAAATAAAACTTTTTTTAAATGGGAAAACATTTATTTTACAGTAACTGTCTAAGCTGTAATTTTCTCGACGTAACTTTTATACATGTCGAATAATTTTCCGACTTTCAGTCGCATTTCTATCAAAATATTGTCAATTCTGGTGAACATCGTGCTTAGTATGAAGTCTTTAGGGCTTGATGCAATTCATTTTTGTATTCTGACTATCGTTAGGCTATGTTTTTCAAAAGTTTTTGGCAGATTTTTTCTTTTAAAAAATTGTTTCACTCCTCAGTTTTTGTCGCGAAAGCCAGAGCGGGCAGTTGCATTTCACAGCGGGCAGTTGCGTTTCAGAGCGGTCCGGATGCAAAAAACCGGCCCGCTCTGAAAGGCTCTCAGCCAATCAGATTGCTTCATTTTCACTGATAAAAAATAAATGTTATATATTGGGATTTTGAACATTAGATTAAGACAGACGTCTGCGATAAGATCAGATTTGACAACTGAAACCACAAGAGAAAGGCGATTTTTACAATATACATCACTGATATGGCGAGTCAAATCTAGGACAAGCGACTTGAAATGATTCTGAAAAACAAATGGTGTATGAAGTTATAAAACGAAAGCGTAGATACAAAGTGAATGTCATCCCTGAAATAGTCCGAAATAGGCAGGGAGGTGGAATTGAACAGCTGCATAAAGATGTAATATATGAACAGCGAGAGCGAGTGTTTCACCGGGATATCATTCTGTTACGTCTCAAATGAATCGAGACGTAACAGAATGTTTTCGTTTGCTCTTAACCAAGCATAAAGTAATTAGGAATTCTATTCAAGTAATTAATATTTGCATGCGTAATTAAGATATTTTATGAAAATACTAGTGACTTTCATGATGATTTCATCATGTTTCATCGGGTTATCCAAATGGCATCTTGTGATCAAATGGGTGATTATCATTGGCTGAATTGCTCATATATTATTAATGAATTTGAGAAATAAATGCATTAATTGGTAGAAAAGAACGACCTATGGCCTGAAATGAAATGCAGAAAATTGTTCTTTGGGAGAGCGAATCGATCCTTTAGAAAGTAGTATCAGGGTTTTATCCAAGTTGATTAATTATAAAAATAATATGCCCTTCTCATTATGGCAGGGGCGTAGCTAGCATGTATAGTTGGGGAGGTGTAAGCCAAAAATTTCCGAATGATGAAGAAAATTTCCAAATATTTCATGGCATACGAAGTCACGAAGGTGTTTGCTATCCGGAAAATGAAGATGCAATTTACAAACAAAGATACACATAGTTTACGCAAAGACATATTACAGAATCATGCAGTGCTGTAGGAAGCTCTTTTTATTGGTGGCTGGGAACGAGGGCCGAAGGCCCGAGGAAATTTTTTAATTTAGATTCTCTGAAAAGCCATTTCCTGGACTTTGGGGGGGGGGGGGAGTTCTGACAGAATTCTGATGGTCAGAAAACGGAGTTTTAGTATGATATTTGTGACGTTACTCTGAGTATGCATCCACAGCGGGCAAGCTGAAAAGTTTGCTTGGCCACGGTGGGAGTCGAACCCGCGACCTTTGGGATACTAGTCCAACTGAGATACTCTGCCAACTGAGCTACGTGGTCAAGTCGGTTCGAGTTGTTAATAGAGTTTTAGTATGTCGAAATTTACTATTTGCTTACAATTTAGTAGAACTAAATGGGCGAAGGCGTATTTAATTAACTATATATGGCAGGAAAGAGTATAGGTAATATGATTCTTTGCGGTTTGTCATGGATAATGTAGCGGCTTAAAATTAATCAATAGACCTTTCCCCTTATGAGTGAAATTTTGACCTTAACTAGCCTAAACAAAAATTTCATCACAGCTTGAAAGAGCATCACAAAATTAGTAATATTCCGAAGTTTCGTTGCGAAATGTTGTAAAATGCGGATAATATAGCTTTGCGAAGTTTTCCGTATTACAAATGGGAAATTGATAATCAAGATTATCAATTTCTAGTTTGTAATGCAAAATGACAGAAAAAAGGCAAACTTCGCAAGGCTATATTATCCGCATTTTACAACCAGGGCCGCCGAGAGCTTGGCGGGGGCCCGGGGCAAAAAATTTTTTAGGGGCCCCTTTGCAAAAAAATTTTCCGGAAAAAAATTTTTCGGACAATAAATTCTTTTTAGGTGCGTTATAATTGCTTTCGTTGGACTTTTCCGCAATTTTCCATACCAAATTTCGGTTCATTGCCCCCAAAACACAAATATTTTGGCCCGAAAACAGCAATATTTCGCCCGAAAAAATGACTTGCGCTCGCGCTATGCCGTCGCGATGCAATTTAGTGGCGTTTCTGTCAACAATCTTTGAAGACAAAAATCTCAAATTTCCTCTGTTCGATTTCGCTATTTTTTTCACGATTAGTTAAACAAAAGTATAATTTCGAGATATTCACCGTTGAAAATAGCCCTCTGTAAAATATGTTGCCTTGTCACTCAGATCGATAATGAACTGCTATTACTCGCTTTTTTTTAAAGAAGTGTGATATATTATAGAAGTTTCGATATATTATGGATTGTATATATTGCAATTAAAGTGTGCAAATAATTAAAGCCCTTCCGTAACAATAGATTTGAGATTCGTGATTTTGGCTGGATTCTATTTTTGTCAATGATTTTGTCTGCAAGAATTAAGCATCACCATCAAATTTGCAATTGGAGGTAAAATCGGTCCTTCCAATCTGTACAGACCTTCTACATCTGCAAGATCTCCGATGCTATGATTGTCTCTCCATCGAGTGACCTAAACCTTCACTCACCTTTCTGGTTATGTTATTGGTATGACTTCTGGATTTTCAAAACTAACCCAGCGACAACCAGAATAACTACTCATCCACCTGTTTCAAAAATGGCTGGTAAAAGTTAACCCTGGTTTAGATGCTAAATTTGGCCCTCAAAATTTTCTCCCACTTAATTGTTGGCAAGGCTATGTCTGTACTTCATGCTGGTCAAAAAGACAATCTGATTTATCACACTGCTCGATGCTTTGGAGAACAACGCCATGGAGATGTTGGTCTGATGCCATTGGATAGAATGCCCTTTATGGGAGTGAAGGCCCACTTGGCCTTTTTTTAACAGTATTTTGTAATGATGTTACACAACTAATTCAGATAAAGTTTGAGAAATGGTGGTTTTTTCAATGTTAAGCCCCAGAGAGGGGGGTGGGGTCGGCCATATGCCCACATATTTTTTGAGCAAATTTTCAATCAAATGCCCCACAGTTAGGTAATAAATATTGGTCAAACACCCCATCATTCTGCAATAAATTGCAATAAATACTATATTAATAAAAGTCATTTTGGTTCAAATTGCCCTAACTCAGGCCCAAAATGCTAATCAAAATCCCCAGAGTGGGGATGCAATGATGATCAAATACCCCACATATGCCCACCCCCCTCTGGGGCTTGACATTGATAGGTGCAATTATATGCAGGTTTTTTTTGTATTCTCATGTAATGTACCACAAAGTATCAGCAGCATGTTATTGTGGGACCTTTGATCAATATGTAAATAAATAGACATATTTTTGTTTTATTGTTGCATTAATTTTAATGAAAAATAAAAATTACTCACAAAGTTGGTCAAGTGAATGTACAAACTATTTATTTCTTCATTTAGTACAGCACATGTTACAATTATGTACTTGTCTTAATTGCATGAGTGTGCATGACAGACTTTTATTTTAATTGTGCACACCCATAACCTAGTTTTTGTTTATGAAAATCTAAAAAGTTACCTAATTGAAATAAGATCATTTCTACAACTTGCTAAACCTAAAGTTACAATTATATCACAAACATCTTTCAACATACACTCGTGCTCTCCCTTACCACTTGAGTCTCCCACTCACCACATTGCTTTATGAAAATTTATTGATAAAATCCTATTTTAAAAAAGTCAACCCTATACTTGATAAGCTGAACATAGACCTCTAAGATATCTCCTGTGGCAACTAGTCTGTGCAAATACTCGCATAGTTGAGAAGCAAGATAACCAATGTGTGTCCATCCAGTTCCATAGTCTACATCAATTGCAATTGCACTTGGGTCCACTGGATTCAATGGCTCTGGCCGTATTCTTACATTCACTGGTTTATCTTGTCCATGAAGAGCAAGGTATGCTGTTGATGTTGGTAATTTTTCTCATGAGCAGCACCGATGCACTTGAATGGTACAGCATGGGTGATTTCGTCCTCGTCACTTTCATCCACATCACTTAACTGGTCACCACTTTCTGCCCTATCACCTTCATTACCATATCCATGCTGACCAGGTTCAAGACCAGGTTCAAGACCAGCCAACCACTCAAGTAGATCTCTTTCTACAAAATCATAACCAGAAAATTTTTATTTTATTATTTTGTACATAAACTGTAATCTCTAAAATTAGAAATCTAATGCAAAAGTGTGTCACTTTTTACAGTAATATTTATAGAACAACACACAAATATGGCAATATTTTACAGATGAAAATTGAAAAATATCACTATTGTATGCACATATATGTAAAAATCTATCTACAACTAGATACAAACAGGCATCATACTTCAGCAAAAATTTATTAAACAATTTGTTTAACTCAAAGCATGTACATATGTATCACAGTGACACAGGACACACACAATAGAGTCAAACTAGAGCCATTTATAAACACAAATATTACGCCATATTAATTTTGTACAGTGTATTTATAAAATTACAGTACAAGGTTAAAAACAACAAAGCGGATAATAATTTGACTAAATAACAAGGTAACTGTAATGCATTGTAGTATACCAACCTTAAATATTGCGCTTGTTTTCACGTTGATGATACACGGAGATTTAACGTCATCCAAGTTAGAAAGAAGAGCCTCGCTACTGGGAATATAAACAAAATTCTTCGCTCAGACGCATTATTTATCAAGCTAAAATGACAACATGTCCCATGCAAATATTTAAAAAAGGTAAACTTGGTATAGTAAAACACAAGTCATAATGATGATCGCAACAATACAGCAATAACATGCTGTTTCTTTTCACGAAGTATCGCAGCCTGACACTCTTGTCGTTCGAAAGCTTCCATATTGGTTTAGTCAGAGAGATGTCGTGAGGCGAGAGGGCCGGATTGAGGTTGGCGAGTTGACCATCTTAACGGAGGTCGAGTTGTTGTTGTCTGGTGTAGAAATCGTTACGGAAATTCCTGATCTTCGAAATAAAATATGATATCTATTTTTCAGTATTCAGATGCTTAATTAAACAGCTTGAAAATGCAAATTACTACTTCAACATTTAAATAGTCATGTATCCTATCAGAAATGTATAAAATGGGTGATTAGGAACTTGAATCTGAGAAGCTACTCCACCTACCTAAGGCAAAATTCTGCAGCTAGGGATTGGAACAGCCTTCCAAAAGAACTCAGGGAAATTAATTCCCTGAACACTTTTAAGTCCGCTATTTTTAGGTATACCTGTTAAACTTAGATGGCGTTAATCATTGCTTTAATGTAAAATAGTACATATTTTATATATACCGGTACATAATTTAGTTATAGCTATATTAGTCATATTAGGTTATAACACATTATATCTAACTGTACTTGTATTAATACCAACAGTCATCGTATTGTCAGCTGACACAATTATGCAAGATTTTATTATTATTATCATTACTTTAAAAAAACAAGCGCAGTTCACAAAGTCCCACTACAGCTGATATCCCGGCTATAGTAAACTGTAAGAGTAAATTGTTTAATGAAGTACTTACAAAGAAAGATTTCTTCATATTTCTCCATCATGTTAGTCCCAGTCAAATACTGGGCATGACAGCGATACTTTCCTTGATCTGACAATGCAACATTCTTCATCACTATTTTGCATCGCTTACAAGACTTAGTATGTTTGATATCAACAGTACAGCTTCCAGGAACAACATGTTCTCCATTAGGTAATGTAAAGCTAACCAACATTAGATTAAATAAATGCTCTTGGCTTTTATCTAACCATACCCTGCAGTATAATGTAACACGTGATTTCATTGGGACACTGTTTGATTTTGAGTTGGTTCCATTGAATTTTGCTCTCGCTGATATGGCGACAACGGCTTCGTCATGTGTGTCATTGTATTCATGATCTGAAAGTAAAATTTTAAAAGCGTTTTAATAACTTGGATTACGAAACTGATAGTATAACTAATAAACTAAATATAACTTGATAGTATAACTAATAAACTAAACACGTAACGATTTAAAAATCTCATCATTATTAACTAATATTCTGGTTTGAAAATGAATTCCCTGAATTCAAAAGTTTGCCCTATCAAGTCACAGTTTCGAGGTCAGTTCGTTTTATGTTTTAAATTACGCATTTCTTTACTCGGTTCTGTTTTACTGTTGTTCATGGTAACTTCAAGTGCCTTTGTGCTGAATTTGTCTGTTGAATTTCCTGTCATTAATTTATAGACACTTACCTAGATGATGTATTGTCATGCTATGACAAAGATATCTTTAAGGCAATTGACCAAACAGGGAAAACTCTTTTTAATTTAAAGACTTCTGTATTATCGCTTGTATATTACAAAAAAATACAGTGTATGAAATAAAGTATACCTGTAACACCATGCTATAGGAAATGAAAAGCAAATTGTCATCTTCCTGGACATTCATGATCATTGCACGGAGTCGTGAGTTCAGTCAAGAATATTCGCGCGCTTTTTGCTTTTTCTTTTGATTTATTTGTAATAATGTAAGCGGCTGTTAATATGGACCTGTGCTCGCTTGGCTTACCGGGATTATTTGTTTAATAAAGCTCTTATCACGGCTCTGATATGCTTCCGAAATGACTTTAGCTTATAGTTTCGACTCAGTACTAGTATAAACTATAAAGGCTCATTCGAACAAACTTTTATGAAACTTAAAAAGTTTAATTTAAAACTTGAAAAGTTTAATTTAAATTAATTATTCTGAGTCACTTAATATTGTTTTTCAATTCAAACTTTTACCAACAAATAATAATGGTTTATTACATTCACTAAATAGCTTGATAAGCTAAAATACAGTGATGTTTACAGTGATAGAACTTTTACAATGATAAAATGTAATGTAAAAAGTATTAATACTATGGTCTCTACTTTACTAAAGCTAGTTCAATGGAAAAAGTCTTAAAACTATTGTCATATTTACAGATAGAATTATATTATGTCTATACTCGAAGGCAGTTTTGTACAGAATACTCGAAGGCAGTTTTGTACTTGAGCCGGTTTTTGACTGGTTTTGCTGATAACCAAGGAATGTAGGCTTAGCAGTAAATGCCATTAGTGTCGTAGACTGGGCAAGGATTGCCAGAAGAAGATAAGTTTAATAAGTTTAGCCGGACATCTGTTTTCTTAGCTTATCTTTTGGGATTTTAACAGGTTTTGTAAGTGGGGATGTTGCGCCATATTAATCCCAATTTATTTTGAAAATAAATTAGTCCTATAATATATAAACCCTCATGCTTACTTATCAATATAAAGATTATATTTGCCAATTGCATATGCAATTGGACTATGTTTAAAACGTTCTGTTTTACATGCAAAGTTATATCGTATCTTTCAATTGTAGCTTAATTGCCTTGCGTCACTATGATATAATCTACACATGTTCAGTGAAGATAAGCTAGTAGTTCATGGTAGGTTACCATTGTAGCAGCAATTTCAAGCCGTGATTTGGACAATAGTCGGACCTTTAGATTCTCCTTTGACGTTGAAATGCCAACCGAAAACCGCACCTTGTCGTCAGCAATTTTCCTTTTTAACGCATATTTCCGGTTTCGTTGTCGGTGCTTTGTAACTTTTAAAATAGTTTTACGTATATAAAAGCAATGCCAGGTATAACTTCATGTATGCAAATAATTTTGAATTTAAAGATTTTAGTTGTTTTCAAATATATTTGGATACATCTGCTGTTAAAATACCATGTCTGTGCATGCAACACTTAAATAATGTTAAACTGCAACCGCGAACCGCAGGGATACGCATAAATGTGTTTTGTGGTTGCCGGTTTGCCGTATATTTTACACGCTTTTGATGGCTGGAGCGATCTTGTCCGTCAGACATTTCTGATTTTGATCAGGTTCTTAATTAAACAAAAAAACTTGAAATTCTAAATATTCCTAATAGAGGCTCAAACGGTTTGGTATTGTAAAAGTGGAAAGGACTTACCAATTCCATGCAATGATGCCAGCACCCTCATAATTATTATATACATTATTTCAGCAACATTATAGAGGGGATTTTTGATATTGGACTGTATATTTAATTTACAGCGCATTTTCGGCATTCGTAACAGAGCAATGGATTTTTAATGATGATTACCAGCTCAACAGGACCACTGCATTCTTAAGAACATGCTTGATCGACACACATAAAAACAGACCAAATTTAAAAACAGTCATTAAACATTTCGACTTCGCATCATATTTTATGGAGATATTATATTATTTTTTCCCCAATGACTGAAAGGGAACTTGGACAAATAAGGTATACGTAAAAAACGTTGACAAACTCTTCAAAATACAAACCTGGTAATTCCACTAATCCACCATAAACGATGGCTACCAATCCCCAATTTAAAGACAGCAAAGTAAAGACCATGTGAATATTCCCAAACATTTTGTCCTGAGAAACTACATATATGATCACTTAACCTCAAACACGAAAAGAATATTTGCCTCAAAAGAATCTAATTGTTATAACTCATGAATTATTTCAACTGAACCTCGTGCACTTCAGCGATAGTTAAAAAGTATTTCCGTTTGGACAATTATTATTTTTTTTTTAAATTTTAATAGAATAGCAGAGGCGATGTCACGCAATGAGAAACTTCGGAGATTGCTTTTGCTACAGTTAGCCAGGAATCATATAATGTGATGTCGTACTATCATAATATTGATTTGTACGATTATTGTTCATGTACTGAGATAAATTCGCCACTCCCAATAAAGAAAATTTATCGCTTTCCCTTAAATGGACAATACTACCCATGCACTCCCCTTAGCGGCAATTTTGCAGTACTGACGAGCTCCGTTTTCTGTGGATACAAAACAATAAAACAATTACACCCATTTGGGAAAATAATGGCTATGTGCGTGAGCACACGCCGATTTATTAATTAATCCAAAATGAATATTAATTTCTATAAATGACAATAACAGTTCTCACAGAAAAGGTGGGGGCATTCTCCCGCCACCTTGAACAAAACTAATCTATTACGTGATCGGTAACAACACGCAACGAAAGACAATAGGGGAGGGAAGGGTGGGACTTTGGAAGAAAGTATCAAGTGTTGCTCCTGGCTGACTTCGGTAGAATAACCTAACCTTGACACTCGCGCCTTTTATACGCAGCATCAGAGTAAAATTCCCAAATGTAGCAACTTCTCCCCGTAATATTTCGTTGCATGCGTTACGTCATCATTTCATTAGCTATATTAAATCTAACTATATATGTATATAATAGGGAAAGCAATAAAATTACTATTCGGTGAACAAATAGTTCCTTTATCGCTTTCCCTTAAATGGACAATACTACCCATGCACTCCCCTTAGCGGCAATTTTGCAGTACTGACGAGCTCCGTTTTCTGTGGATACAAAACAATAAAACAATTACACCCATTTGGGAAAATAATGGCTATGTGCGTGAGCACACGCCGATTTATTAATTAATCCAAAATGAATATTAATTTCCATAAATGACAATAACAGTTCTCACAGAAAAGGTGGGGGCATTCTCCCGCCACAAGCCTCCTTGGGTAGGAGGCACCCCCACCCGACCAGAACTGCAAAAAGCCAAACTCAACCTAACAAAGTAGGTGGTAAATCAACTGATAACGCTATCGAAATGCACATTTTAATAAATTGTTTTTATTTGCAATGCCAATTTAGTAAAAGTAAGGAACTGAACCGACCGTATACGCCTTGCCCCTGCTTCGGCGAAACGGCATGGAAACAGAACCATACCAGTACCGCGTATCAAATAGAAATGTGCGACTTAAAACACTGGTAAATAATACGTCAGCTACATGGTCAAATTATGCAGCCATATCGATCCCTATTCGCATAAGATTATTAACTTCTCAAACTACTCGTAGTTATCTTTGACATGTGAATGTACTTTCGGAATGCGTCAGATTTCCAACGCCCCATACTCGGATGGTTATAGGAATGCTTAAAATAAACGAATTTAACCTTAAGGCCAACGATAGCGCCAGACAGATCCTCAAGCTTGACCACCTGTTTTACTTGAAGAACCGCTGGAGACCGGGGACAGTAAGTAATTTCCCCAACCCTTAAAAATGCAAAAAATGCCGTTGTACACATGGCCTTAAATAAAAGGGCATTGTAGACATAGAACACAAAGACTTCGTCGATATTCAAAAGAATAGGTAATGTAATAGGAAGACGGCTGTCAATGCGCAGCCCCGCATCAAGTGACACATGAGCACACTCAAAACATGGGATAAAATTTCAAAATAACAATATTTATATGTTTCTAATGCTCAGGCCATTCATCGAAACACCAAAACTGACCAAATATAGCTCCAAAACCCAAGCTAGCTGCAGAGTCAATATACAAATTTAACCATTTAAATCATCAGAATTTAACCATCAGAATTAGACCAGAAATCCCCCCGAAAAAACGATCGGCCATTGAAATCATCCAAAAATGATTTCCATATACGCAAATCCGTTTTAACAGATCTACTAAGCCGGATAAAATGAGACGCACACCGTATGTCTTTGCTCAAATCTATAAAACGACGCAGAAAAGCCCGCCCTGGCACAACAACAGAACAAGCAAAATTAAGAAGGCCAATTAATGACTGTACCTCATTTAAAGCAGCTTTCTTGCGCTGTAGAAACATCGAAAGGGGGGCTTTGGATTTAGGCTAGTTATTTTATCCGCTGGTAAACGTGCTTCAAACAATATAGTGTCTTATTCAATACCGGCAAATGGCAAAGTGGTTCGAGGACCGACAGTCTTGTCAGTGCAGTGCTAAACATTTCAAATGTCCGACAGGATGATGCACATCCCATCGGCATGGCACGGTCATAATAGAATTCTCCTTGCCAAAAAATTCCCAGACGATCATAATCCTGGGGGCATATAGAAATGATATGAAATGCATTTTTGATACCTGTTTTTGCAAGAAAACAACCTTTTCTTAGCGTTTTGATCATAGAAATTGCATCGTCAACTCGACTGTAACACACCACAGTATGCTCAGATGAAATACCGTCATTGATCGATGCCCCTTGAGGAAAAGACAAATGGTGGATTATACGAAATTCCCCAGGTGTTTTCTGTGGCACAACGCCCAACGGGGAACTCAAAAATTATGAAAAGGAGGTTCTTGAATAGGTCCAGCAATTCTATTAGCTGTTAATTCCCAGGTGATCTCGTGTTCGTATTTTAGCCAATCGGCGCTCAGAAAGGGTTGTCCGGATAGAAATCCATTTTGATGTAGTCAGTCAATCACATCTTTCGTTATTCTGTATGAAACTAGTTGAAATTCTGTAATTATGTTTGGTTATGAGAACTATAGCTCTGACAAAAATATGGAATCGAAATAAAGTATATTACAGGAGATATTCAGTTGTTTTAATCATAAAATGGATTTCTATTTGACAACTAGTGCCAGTACTTTTCCGCGTATCACGATCATCTGGTCCTTATCAAGTTAAACACTGACTACCTAAAAGATTTTTGGAACAAAAAGAAATACGTTCACCAGAAAAATGTAGGGAAAAACCCCAGGTAAAACCATTATGTAACAAAGAAACAACATGCACATCATATCCACCTAACTAGGGTAGCATTCGTTCAATTAGGACCGGAGTTGGGAGCTCGGGACAAGGCTGCTCGTTTGACACTGAGGGGTTGAAAATTGGCAGTGGCAACGGAGGGACGAAAATTTGAAGTTGAACTGGAGGGACGAAAATTACAGC